TCTTGTCCAGGACTTCCAGAAAGGTGTGCTGGGCATTACAATGCGCTGCTTGGTTTTCAGTCACGTCGTGATTCAGAGTTGCCTCGCTATTTTTCTCTACGTAAGTCTGTTGGTCGCATCGGTTTCTTACCAGTGGTTTGGTGCCCAATGGGGATTTAAGCGCTCACTGTCGAGCGCGCTCTCATTCAGATGCTTCGCCCAGGCTGCAACAGTGCAGATTGCCGCATGCTACAGAATGTTCGGCGTCAAGGCTTCCGCGTCCGCCCTGGTCGAGCAGGACCTCGGCGTCGCCCTTTTCCGCGTTTCAGATCAAGGGCTACAGGTTCAGCGCGGACCACGACGATTTCCAGGGCGCGTTGCTCAAGAAGCTCTACCTGTTCCATTTGTGGTGCGTGGTTCTCTCGACTGGCATGTTTGGCCCGCTTGACTTGTTGGACCGTAACCCGCTGCACCTCAGCGTGCGTTTAGCGTACTGTGCCTCGAAGCATACGAATGTTGCGTTTCCGTCGTTATGGTTCTTGTGGCAGAAGGCAGGCTGCATCTATGATCTTTCATGTGATATCAAAGCGCGCATGGGTGGTTTCTTGTTTCAGTTTGCAGCGACAGCGCATCTGAATAGACTGTGTCAACGATTGAGTCTACCACCAGTTTCAGTTACTCCAGTTGTGATTCCACGTGTGCTGGTTCGGCGTCTCCGCCTGCTCCGTCGGCTGTTTCAAGTGGCGGTGTATGAAGTGAGATGTGAAACTGCTCGCCGGCGGCTTTATGCTCATCTTATTGTTCTCCCTGCAAGGGGGGCGGCTTGGGCTGGCAAGTTCAACGTGGAGCGAGTTCTTCGAGGATTAGGTCATGCATACTTTCATCGTGCACCGCCAGGGGATGTAGGTCGATTGGCTACAGCGCCAACGTTCTCGGCCCACTCTGGGCCGTGGAAGTTGCCGGTGTGGCCATCTCTTCCGCGCCTTCGTCGTATGTTGCAGACTGCTTGGCGTGCGCGGGGGCGACGTCATAGGCTGCGCCCTCGTGTCCAACGCCGTATTCGTCGTGCTCTTGGCGAGGAATTTCAGGCTCTACCCGCTCCAGTGCGTCCTGGTCCATGGGCTGAGTTAGAGGGGCGCTTTCAAGAGATCATTCGCATTCGCGGCGCTATGGCTTGGGGCGATCGTGATTCAACCAAGGCGCGGCTCATTGAGCGCGGTGCAATTGGTCCGTGCTTGTGCGCAATCTGCTGGCTGACGCGCCCCTGTGGCGGCGTCGCCCAGAGCTCCGTCCGCGTGGCGTTCTCGCGTGGCATGGTGTCTGTGGCCGCGCGGGCCTTCCCAACTTCCTGGCCCGCCGACGAGGCTTCCTGAGCGCGGGGGTCTCGCCGCCCACGCCCCCCCCCTTCGTCGAGTCGAAGTGCCTCTCCGACGGGGGCGTGTGTGGGGGGGGGGGGGGGCGGGCGGCCCTCGCGCTGATGCGTTCGCGGAATCATTGATCTGTCTTGCATCCCTTTCGCGAAGTCTTGGAGGGTGATCGGGGGGGGGGGGGGATTCGAGCAATTCTTGAAATCTCAGGAGCTGGGTGCGAGATCCTTAACGTCAGTGGCGTCGGCGCGGCTCTGAAACAGGACCTGCAGTCGATGGCAGCACCTGCGCCGGATGGGTGTCGCTTGCGGCGTGGCTGTCAGAAGGGCGGCCGCTTGCAAGTGTCGACGTTCGACGTGGATCAGGCTTTCGAGAGTTGCCGCAGTGAACATGTGATGCCAGTGTGGTCGTGGCCTGAGTCTCGCTATCGCGGAGTCGCAGGTGTTGGCGCAGTTTTGGTCGCTAATGGCAAGCAGTATAAGGTCATGGCGGCCGCGCGCTCCTGGAGTCGGGCCTGGTGGGCCCCGTCCTTGGAGGTCTTGTGGAGGGCCGTGCTTGCTGGCCTCGCGTGCAGTTTTGGTGGCGATCGGGAACATGGTCTTTGGGATTTTGGGATTGTGTATCGGCGGCTATATAAGCAGTGTTGCTGTCTCGGTCCGCGTCGCACGTGGGGAGTTCCAGGTGGTGGACGATGTCGCGAAGTTGGAGACTCTCGGGCCCCGTTCGGGCCCTCCTCTCGGGGGCGCACTTAAGTGGCGCAGGTCTGTTGACGGCGTGATGTCTTCTGCTACTGCCCAGGGTGCATGCAGGTATTCGTGGGGCACATTTTTCTGTACCAGTATCGGTCGTTCCAATCGTCGGGATGTCCGACTACATATGCGTCGGGGTCTTTGTCTCCTGTTGGCGAAGTATTCGGGTGGGTTGGCGCGGAGATTCATCTGTGCTCGAGGTCTCTCGGCTGGTTCGAAAGGTCCAACGGCGTTTATGGATTTTGGGGGCTTCGGAATTTCATCGTGGTGTTCTTATCCCGTGGCTTGGTCGGCTGCGATGCTCGTTCGCGCGTGTTCGAGCGCCGCGTCTTAGTGAATTGGCTGCTGCTCGCTCGGCGTGCTGATCTCGGGCTCTGATGTCGGTTATCATCGTGGGGCGTTCGCTGGGGTTGCTGGATTTTTTGTTCTTTTTTTTGTTTGGTTGTTTGTTTTTTGTTTTGTTGTTGTTGTTTTTTATCACCAAGTTTTTGTTATCGCTGCTGCCGTCGCCACCTGTGCTCGGTGCGCGGCGGTTGTGGTTATCCCAAGTTCGGCGCGCCGCCCGCGTCGGCGGCTTCTCGCCGCGGGCAAGAACGGCCGCGGCATGGGCGGCGGCGGCTGCCGTAAAGGCGGTAGCAGTAGTAAATGATCTGGTTATGGTGGTCGTCCTCGCGGGCAGACTCGCGGATGGAATGACTGTTCAAGTGGCCGTCGTGGAGGTCGCGGTGATCGTGGCACCGACGACCGCGATCGCGATCGGGGCCGCCGCCGCGGCGAGGACTCACCCGATTCGGAGGGGGGGTTCGACGTGATGAGCTTCTCATCGCCAAGCGCAGCCCGCGCGTTGCCCGCTTCCAGGAGCGGGGGCAGACCGAGTACCGTGACGAGGAGTTCACGCGCCAGGGTGAGATCTTGGCGGGCACTGTTGGTTCGCAAGTTAACCGGGCTCTCCAAGCGGTCGCGGTGCCCGCAGGGCCGAGTGTCTCGGCTTCAGCGGGTTCGGCGCGCCCGGCCTTCCCGCCGCGGCCTCCGCTGCCATCGCGCGTCGCCCCCGCCAAGAAAGTTCAGACCTTGGGCGGAGTGCCCCCATCCGCGCAGATGCGCATCGCCAAGGCTATGCGGAGCCCGAAGTGCAAGCTGGGGCCAGGCACCTTCAAGGAGGTGGGCGAGTTCATCGTCGAGTCGTGGGCGTCGGTTCCGAGTGTAGCCAAGCAGCCCAATGGCTTCCCCAAGGGCAACTTCGACGGCGAGCCGCCCCTTGGCACGGCGGGGCGGATTCAGTGCTTCTGGGACGTGCTCCAGCAGCTTGACTGAATCGACGGGGCCATCCTTCCAGAAGGGTCCGATTCTGATGACTATGTGGCTCCGTCGTGGCAGACTCAGCGTCGTCGAAGGTCAGGCGAGTTCCAGATATCACCTCAGATAGCCTTTCATAGTTGTGTGTGTGCATCACGCATGGGCACTTCCTCAACTCATTCGTGCTTGGTGCTGCAGGGTATTGGTGGCAGCAGTTTCGTCAGTTGTGTGGTTCTGGCTGTGGCTACCTCTCGAAAACCTTGTGTATGCTGCGCAGTGCGCTGAGATGATGCCGCATACGATGCCGAGTGGACTGCAATGGCTTGCTCCTTTACCCCTCGTGCTTCCTGCAACTCGGGGTGGACTTCGTGCGATTTGCGGGTGAGTTCATCCGCAGAGTGGGCTAGAGGTCGTGAAGACAGGTGAGTGCGCGCGGGTCCTGTCTGACTCCTCGGAGGTCAGCTCCCGTTCATCGATTGGTGGGTCATAATTTCGGGTTTGTTCCGCAGGCGATTCGGCTCTGGATTTCTAGCCAGGCACGGGTGCTCAACCAACTGAGAAGTGGCCCCGCAGCAGAGCCGCCGTCCGTGTGCAGGCAGGCAGATCGAGGTGGCAACGTTGCCATGTATTGGTTTTGATGCAGGCATATAATCATTATCATCATCATACTCCTTTGTTCGGTTGTGGTCCTGCTTGGTGCCACAGCCGTCTGCAGCCTCTGCGGGGGCTGCTGCATCGGGGCCTTCGCGTCCCGCTGGTGAGCGCAGCTTGCCTGGCCCCGCATGCGGGCTGTGATCGGAGCCCTTGGGGGGCATGGTCGCGGCGCGCAGCGCGCCCTATCGTACAGCCCAGGCGTGCGAGCTGAGGAGCGCGCGCGGGCCTTGTCTCGGAGTCCGCCCTCGGCCCCGCTTCGAGGTTAGCCCTCTCAGGAGGCCAATTGGCCATCCTGTCCGTGCAGCTGGCGATGGCAGCCGCTGCTTTGGCAGCGGGGGAGCCTGCTATCCCTGAAGGCCCTGTGTGGCCCGACCTCCGCCCGTTCAGCGCAACGTCGGCCACAAGGTGGTACGACCGCTGGCGCTTGGACGAGGGCGAGGTGGGCTGCGCCGCGATCCCCCTGGCCTCCCGGCCTGGGGGCATCTTGGCGCCGCTGGGGTCGGTCCGCTCGGCCGACAGCCTCGGGTGCAGGTTCCTCTTCGGGGCGGGGCGGGTGCCTCGGTAGCTTGTCGCACACAGCGACGTGTGCCAGGCTCTGAGGGGCCAGTGGGGCTCTTCTCCCCCAGCCCCCGAGAGGTTTCCCGATTTGCGACTGCCTGGGTGCACGCACATGCGTCAGGCTGCACGGAGCACGCTATTCACAACTTCATCGCAGTCACTCGATGATCGTTCGAGGTAGGGCTCTGTTTGCACGTTTGCACGCGCGAGCAGGGTACGGCACAGATCACGCGTAAGGCCGAATCTTCTTCTTCTTCTTCTTCTTTTCTTCGTCTTCTTCCTCCTCCTCCTCCTCCTCCTCCTCCTCAGCGCGTGCCCAAGACCCCCCCGCGGATCCAAGGGGGGATGGGGGAACGATTGTTGCCGCATCCAGAGTGTCCTTCCTCCTCCCGCAGAG